ACGTAGAACTGGTATAACATAATAATCCAAAACTCTAAACTTCGTCACTGTCGATATTGTCCAACATTCTGAGACATACGTAGAACTGGTATAACATAATAATCCAAAACTCTAAACTTCGTCCCCATAGATATTTTATTATTTGTCACTATTTTTTTCATTTTCAGAAATTCGTCTTTGCCATCTCTATTTTCCGTTTTATTTCATTATCAAATTTACCATCTGATGTTGTCCAGCTTCCCAGGGTAGTTGAATTTATTGACCTATCTTTTCTGTTCCTTATTTACTGTGACAATGTATATAAGAATGATCGTCTTCTTTGTAATTACCAAACATTATGTTCACCTACAGTTAAAACTTAAATCTTTCTTCTCATTTTCACTAACAACTTTATCTGAAATATTTAAAGCTTCTCTTCTGAATCAGCTATTAGAATTTTGTCATCACCATAACGCAAGTTGTTGACATTGTGTTCGCCAATGATCAGCTCTGGTAAATATCCAGTTATTGCAACATTTTCATTAACTCCATATGTTTGACTCTATTAAGAGCTTTGGTTTAATAATAATAATAATAATAATAATAAGAGAAGGTCTTTCTTCATTTCTACTACCCACTCCGAAAACATTTATACCATAAAATTACCATTTCTTTTACCACAATTTTCAATAAAACCATATTGAGAACTTGCAATCTTCGGTCTTATTCTACTTCTAGCTCTCATGATCACCACATTTGTCACATGTCTTATTAAACTGATGGTTCGATGGTGCTCACATTAAATGACTCCATGTCTTTTGGAGAGGGCAATAAAGATCGCTTCACTGAGATCTTCAAGTATTTGACAACTTTCATAAATCTCATTGATAATAGTTGTTAACTGTTCTATACCAAAATATTCCAAATATCTTATTTGTTCTACTGAAATGTCATCGGTCCTATAGCTTTAGTGGTTTCATTCTGTTGATAACTTTTCGTACTTTAAACTTAAAAATTTTCAATCCGTTCAGGTTTTTTCTTAATAGTTGGTTTTTCTCCAAGACTGTCGTGGAATAAATCTTCAGTATAAACTGTCCACCTTTTCAATACTTGTTTTTGTTCTACAATTGCATCACCATGTTTAGTTTTCATACATCCACTAACAGTACATCTTCCTCAACCGGTGATTCCTATACAATTGATGCAACATCTTTGACCTGTTCTATTTCTGTACATTTTCCCTTTCTTCATTACACACTGATAGAATTATTTGGTCCAGTTCCTTATACTACGGGTTTTTATTTTCCTTCTATCTTCCACGAGGCCAGGGATTTCCTCCGTCATCCATTTCTGTTTCTTTAATTTTAATGGAATAATCTCTTTGACTGCTTCATCTAGTGCTTCTACAAAACATTTCCCACTTCCTTCATCTTCGAGTTCTTGAAAACGGTTTATAACTGCCACTGTATACCTTTCTTCAATCACATCTTGATGGTGCATACTACAGGGATGTAGTCACTTCTGCAGTCAGCCCTGGCTAAGTTTTCGATTGTTTTACAGCGTTTATGAATCTTTCATGTTTACTTTCTTCTCGTGTGTTGTTTAAGTCATATGTTAGTAATGACTTGATCATTTTCAACACACCAGTAAATACATTTATTTCCTCTTTCAATTTTTCTCCCTAAGTCCATGCTGTTCAACTACATCATAAACAACTTTAGCTTCTACATCTCCACCTTCTTCCACATATTCATCAAATTTTTCTTTATCAACATAGAAACAATCAATCACTTCTTCCTCATTTTCAACTGTCGGTGTATAAACCTGTATTATTACAATGTCGAAAGGTATATTTTCAACTGTCGGTGTATAAACCTGTATTATTACAATGTTGAAAGGTATATTTTCAACTGTCGGTGTATAAACCTGTATTATTACAATGTTGAAAGGTATATTTTCAACTGTTGGTATATAAACTTGTATTATTACAATGTTGAAAGGTATATTTTCAACTGTTGGTATATCAACCTGTATTATTACAATGTCGAAAGGTATATTTTCAACTGTCGGTGTATAAACTGTATTATTACAATATTGAAAGGTATATTTTCAACTGTCGGTGTATAAACCTGTATTATTACAATATTGAAAGGTATATTTTCAACCTTCGGTGTATAAACCTGTATTATTACAATATTGAAAGGTATATTTTCAACTGTCGGTGTATAAACCTGTATTATTACATTATTGAAAGGTATGTTTTCAACTGTCGGTGTATAAACCTGTATTATTACAATGTTGAAAGGTATATTTGCAACTGTCGGTGTATAAACCTGTATTATTACAATGTGGAAAGGTATATTTTTTACTGTTTAATGAAATACCAAGTGATTCAACTGGGTCATACTAATAAATTGTGACAATCTAGTGTGGCTTACATTGGTCATATGAGTACAGCGTGACAATCTAGTGTGGCTTACATTGGTTATATCAGTATAGCCTGACAGTCTATGTGTGGCTTACATTGGTCGTATCAGTATAGCGTGACAGTCTATCGTGGTTTACATTTTTCACATCAGTACAGCGTTACAGTCTAGTGTGGTTTACTTTGGTCACATCAGTATAGCGTGACAGTCTAGTGTGGCTTACATTGGTCATATCAGTATAGCGTGACAATTTTTGTCACATTATTGTATCGTGACAGTATGCGTGTGACTCAATTTTGTCACATTAGCATATCGTGACAGTTTACGTGTGACTTAACTTTGTCACATTAGTGTATCGTGACAGTTTACGTGGGACTTAACTTTGTCACATTAGTGTATCGTGACAGTTTACGTGTGACTTTACTTTGTCACATTAGTGTATCGTGACAATTTACGTGTGACTTAACTTTGGTCACTTTAATTTACCCTTACAGTGTATCTGAGATTCATAGTGGTCACGTTAATGTATCGTGACAGCTTACGTGTGACTTAACTTTGTCACATTAGTATATCAAGACAGTTTACGTGAGATCGATCTTGGTTACGTTAGTAAACCGTGACAATCTATGTGTTATTTACTTTGCTCACATTAGTATAATGTGACCGTCATTGTGTGATACACCTGTGACACTTTGCTATACAATTGATCTTGGTTACACAGATATTCTACGTGTATTCACTTCCATGATAATAATGTACCGTAAAAATTTTAGTGTTATTTACATTGAAGATATCAGTATGCTGTGGCAGTTTATGTATGGTTCACACTGGTCATATTAGTGCAATATTAGTATAATATTACGTTCAATTCATCTTTGTCGTATTAGTATACTGAGATATTACAGTATACGTCTACGCGTTATTCACATTGGTCAGTTAGTTGACCGTGACTGTGTACGTGTGATTCACCTTTGATATATTAACATACTGTGACAGTCTACGTTTGATTTATCCATGAGTCACACTAGTGTAATATTACAGTTTAAGTGTTATTCACATGAGTCACATTAGTATTCTTTGACGATCTAAGTGTGATTTTTCTTGGTCAAGTTAACATACCATCACAATCTACGTGTGACTGACTTTGGTTACAATAGTATAACGTGAAAGTTTATGTGAGGTTCACCTTCATGACTTTAATATATCGTTATATGTTAAATGTGGCTCACGATGGTCACATAACTATTCTGAGAGAGTCTACGTGTGATTCACACTGGTCAATTAGTAGACCGTGACAATGTGCAAGCATTTCACTTTTTTCGTATTAGTATACTGAGATAGTCTACGCGTGATTCACATTGGTCAGTTAGTTGACCGTGAATGTGTACGTGTGATTCACCTTTGATATATTAATATACTGTGACAGTCTACGTTTGATTTATCCTGCTCATATTAATATACTGTGACAGTCTACGTGATTTATCCTGCTCATATTAATATACTGTAACAGTCTACGTTTGATTTATCCTGCTCATATTAATATACTGTGACAGTCTACGTTGGATTTATCCTGCTCATATTAATATACTGTAACAGTCTACGTTTGATTTATCCTGCTCATATTAATATACTGTGACACTCTACGTTGGATTTATCCTGCTCATATTAATATACTGTGACAGTCTACGTGTGATTCACATTTGACATATTAGTATACTGAAATTGTCTACGTGTCATTCACCTTGGACATATTAGTATACTCTGACAGTCCACGTATGATTCACCATTCGAAATATTAGTATACTGTGACAGTCTATGTGTCATTCACCTTGGACATATTAGCATCCTCTGACACTGTACTTTTGACTTATCATGTTCATATTATTTCAAAATCCCAATGCAGTTCAGCTCCTTTGTGCTAGTGGGAAATACCAGTGTAAAAGAATAGGACAATAGGATTCCAGAGATTTTAGAATTATTCTGTTTATTAAGATCATTGCAAAGTATTAGTAGGTTTCATGTTTTCTCCGCTAAATGATTGCAGTTAACGCAATACTGCCAGTGACATTTAATTTAAATCAACACTTCAAGTGTAGTGTATCTTAAAGTAAAATGTAACATTCATGAGAGAGAATTTTTCTTCTTAAAGCAAATATTTAATAATAATAGGGCGTGTCTGTGTGTGTGTGTCCGCCAAAGCTCCAAGAAGAAAGAACTTAGAAACCTGAAAATTTCCACCCATAATAAGTAGACCTGAAGGTGTGCACCTGGGTATCATTACTTATCTTATCCACGCATCTTTTTAATGAGGCAAACTAGCGAAAAACCACATAGAAAGAAGTGGTTCCTTATAACACAAATAAAAATCACAGACAGACAGACACCCTCTTTTATTATAGACGTATATCCCGTCAAAAATAACGAAGCAAGTATTACCACCCCATAGTATATCCTGTAGTTTGTTTGTTTGTTCCGTAGTTATGCACAAAGCTACACAATGGGCTATCTGTGCTCTGCCCACCACGGGTATCGAAACTCGGTTTCTAGCGTTGTAAGTCCTCAGACATACCGCTGTGCCACTGGGGGGCATATCCTGTAGTATCTCAGTTAGATTAGCAACTTCTAATATATAGAAAAGCCAGTGCATTTTGGTAACAATGTATTCCAACAATGGCTTTTATTTCATGTTGCTTAGCAACAAAAGTATAACCTAATGTTGTTGTTAGCCTATGTACTGAAAGCATAAAATGAAATGTATAGATAAGAATGATATTTGTTGCCTTCTTAATAAAGAGTATCCATTTATTAAAAAGGTTTGTTTGTTGTTAAAAACGTTGGTGATATAACAGAAAATACCTTAATTCAGAAACGATTTAAGCTTAAAATTGGATCGATACTTTTACATTCATGATAAATATTATGCACTTGGCTCTAGGCTAGGTTAACTCTCCCTATGTCTTTACTTTAAGTTTATTTATTAATTTATTTAAATCATACCAACATTCACAGCCCCCTTGCACCCCGGCACTAAAATCGTAATGTATGCCAAAATTGAAACAGAAAGGCTTCGATTCATTCGCATAAACCAAAAGAAGCTTAGAGTTGAATACTATATCCACCTGCAGGATGCCAAAATAGGTTCAGAATACACACACTGACATAGTCATCTAGAATATATCAACCTACTAACCCGAGCGAAGCCCGGTACTTTCACTAGTCTGTAATAATAAAAGAACTTGTCTGTGTGTGTGTGCGTGTGACCGTCATAGCTCCAAGAAGAAAGAAGCTAGAAGGTTTGTTTGTTTGTAATTAGGCATAAAGCTACACAATGGGCTATCTGTGCTCTGCCCACCACGGGTATCGAAACCCGTATTCTAGCGTTGTAAGTCCGCAGACATACTGCTGTGCTACTGGGGGCAAGAAGCTAGAAACCTAAAACTTTGCATACATACTAAAGGGATTCTGAGGGTGTGCACCTGGGATT